GTCCTTTATCAGTATACATCAAGGGCTTGCCTTTGCTAAATCCTTCTGGGAGATGAGTTCTGTTGCTGCCCACCTCAATGGCCCCGACCAGCATCACCTGGGGGTGCCCATGGTTTAGTTTTAGTTTAGTTTTGGTTGCCATGCCCTTCCTGGATTACCCTTAGGATGGCTGTTCTCCAGCTCTGACAGACATCTCCAGCCATGGATACCCCTGACCTCGCCCTGCACGTTGAGTGCTGGCTTGACCTCAGCCCAAGGATGGAGGTGTTTGATGCTGTGGGATGGGCCCTGGCCCTTCCAGTTCCCATGGGGATTTACTATGGATCCCAGATTTCAACACTACCTGATGTTAATCACTTGATATTCCATAAACAGCAAAATGCCCAAAAGAAGAAGAGTTGGTGTGGTTTTTCCAGGAGCACAGAGTAAACATACTGACATTTACAAGATTCAAATCTAAATAAATGATCATAGACTTAGGACAAAGTCCTATTTCTCCAAAGTCACAGCAGGAATTCGCTTCTGGGAACAAAAAGATAAAGTTGTGTCAATTCCACCATTCTCTACACCATTTGAGGGGTGGGGCTGCAATATTTAATGTCTTTCAAATTGCAAAACTGTTTTTCTGCTTTTCTGTTTGTTTGTTTGGGCTTTTGTGAACATGTCTGTGTTTTGGTTTGGTTTCTTTTTAGTCCTTCAAATCTACTTTTCATTCCCCTGGCAGCTGAGGCTTCCCAGTCTCTTGTGGGGAGTCAGGGAGGTACACTAAGCTAATTCCCTGCCCTTGGGGTGGGAAGACTGGAGCACTCACCTGTGCCCTGGCAAAGGCTTCAGTGCTTTTGCAGGGAGTGCTGAGTGAGTGGTACCCAGCAGTTCTATACCTCTTTTCTTCCTAAGACTATGAAAGTCTCACCCATCCTGCAAGATGTGTGAGCTACAAACAAGCTGCAATTCTCCAAAACCTCTTTCTTGTGCACAGACCTTCCCTGCTGCACCAGCATAACCTGCATGTGTCAGTGATGGGGAACTACTGCAGGGGAGGGGTGAGGTGGATGTGTTCCATGAAAACAGTTCTAAATTATCTAGAAAACACTCTGGAGAGATGTGTTTGGTCTTTTGATTGCTTCTACTCAATATGATCTCTCTAGGCATGATAATATGTGTCAACTGCATAAGCTTTCAAGTATTAGCATTTAGGCAGACCTTCTCACTAATGCATTAATCCTGCTGCAAAGCTCAACAATCGTTAAACATGTAAAATGTACCTTGAGGAAGAACAAGATGGTTCATTTAAGATGGCCAAAGCACAGCATTTAAATTCTAAGGTGACATGTGATACCTGTATTAGCCTTTTTATGCTTGCCCCTCTTTGATTAATTTCTTAAGACAGTGCTAAATTTGGAAATGTGTGGTTTGGGGTTTCTTTTCAAGAAGGATATGCAAAGCCACAATCTCTCATGCTCTATAAATAGCCATATGTGTGATTCTGTATGTAAGGAATTGTGCTAAGGCTTGCACCTGCCAGCTCTCAATTTAAAACTGATTCTTTTGAGCGCTTTGCCTCTGTGCAGAAAGAGAAGTGTTTTTTTTTTTTTTTACTGAAATACCAGCTGGACAGTCTTTATCTTGTTTGGAAATCACTTGAGTGCATCATCTTTCCCATACAGACAATTATTTTGAACATATAACATTTGTTATAATTTCCCCTGCAGATGCATCTTGATTTGCTGTAGTGACATATTTATGGAGAGGCCATGTGTTTTGCTGTAGATCAGGTGGAACATGTTAGAACTATCTCTGCAAGGGCTTCTGGAGCAATGGAGCAGGTGTAACTGAGAATTTTTCCTTCCTTGTAGCTCCTGTATAGCTCCAATTTTTGGTATAAACACTTCTTAGTCCCTCAGGTAGATCTCTTGCTTAGATAAATGTGGTTGATCACTTTTTTGTTCAGTCTTGCAGGAACTCATATTCTGAAGGAGCAGAAATCAAGCAGAATTTTCTGAAGAAATCCAGCAGTAAGTTCTCCTGTACAAGAACAGTAAACTAACATATTCAGCTCTGCTGCAGATTGTGATATTGTGACAAATTCTGCTCATCTGACATCGTGCACTTTTACCTACCTGAGACAGAAATGGAGAGGACGTAGTAAATTATAGCAGATTTCCACATTGCAGGTTATCTTCTCTTTCTCTTTCTTCTCTCCTTCCCTTTGTGGGGAGGTGAAAGAAATGCAGCTTTTCCTCTCTCTCATGCCTGGTGCTGCTCTTTAGGAATAGCTGGACAAAGTCCCACATCCACAATCCACACCTGCCACAGCCACTGTGTGTTTAAGGACCATTTTGCCTCACATGAATGATTCAGCTACATCAGCCTGTTTCTCCCTGGGGAGGGGTGAAGTGCTGACTTCCCTGCAGTGGTGAGTGGTAAATGAAACCAACCCTCAGCATTAAAGAACAGGATTGTACCAGACTTGTAAAGTGGAACAGCAAAAGGACCAGCTGAGCATTGAAGAAACAATATAGAGAAGTGTTATAAAAGTGGTTGCCTGCAGCAAACATTAGATGGAAGTTATTTTGTGTCTTGACACTGAGTAGAATAAATAGTAATGGTAAATTCTGGAGCCTTTGGCTAGGTGTCACTGTGTTTAGATTTACATTTCATACCTCCAAAGGCTTTTTATGCAGGTAACTGAGAAAAAGGAGCTTTTGTGAAATTGTGTAGTCACCATCCTTTTCTGTTTTCATTAAACCACTTTTTAGAATAGGGATATATAGATATTCTATTGAGAAGTACCCATCCATGGTCATCTCATATCACCAACTCATTGTGCAGAGCCCTGTCATCCTGATTCAGCACAAACACTGAGTCAGCAGGAGCAGGTGAGCAAGAAAACCTGCACAAAGGATGCCTGCAGGGAGGGAAATATTGGCAAGTTCTTTTGTCTTTGCTCCCCATAAGGCCTTCTGTGGGAATCCAGAGCTTCCCTCTGGCTGCCCTGGCAGGTCTGGGACCCTGGCAGGGGTCAGGAACCCCCCTGGACAGAGCCCCCAGAGACACTGGCTGTGATCCCTGTCCATGGAAAAGAGTTTTCAATCTTACAGGATGAATTACCAGCTCTGAGTGTTTGATATCAGTAATAATTAAGTGTGGTACAGGTGCAAAAGTAAAATTTTAGGATTCTAGATAAGGGGTCCAAAGGGGACAAGATGGAGGAAATTGGGTGTGTCTTGTCCTTTTTGTCCTTCTTCATGCCCTCCATGTCTCACTGTGGTGTTGGCATTTTTCTGTTGGTTCAGGCTGGGGACACACTGTCCAACGTAGGTGACAGATATTGGCACGTTCTTGTAAATCCAGCCCAGGGAGTTTCTGGTATTTAATGTTTGTAACATCCCACTGAGGGCAGAGACCCACACGCTGCCCTGCAGGACAGAGCTGGGCAGGGCAGCAGAACATGTGAGAGATAAACAGAATAAACAACCTGGAAACCAGCACAGACCAATTATGGCTTCTGCTTTGGCAATGGGGCTGAAAGACAGGGACTTTCTACATCTCAGAATCATCAACACCTCAGATTCTGACAGCCTTCCAGCTGGGAATGGGGGTTCCTTTCCTCAGACCCGAGGTGGGGGAAGCAAAGTAGAGACAGAAGGAAGAGCTAACTGTGATTCTGTTCTCAGTCTTTAATCATAGCTCCAAGCTCTGAAGCATTATGTCTTCAAGGCAGATAATAAAAGGATATCCAAATTACACTTTGAGAGTTACTGTTGTCTGTGACCAATATTTTTGTTTTACCTAATTGGAGAAAAGGAAAAAAAGTATCTTTTCCTGAAGATATAACCACAGAAATTAAAGAGAAGAGAAGGAAACAATTCACCTTCTTAAAGCAAAAAGTATTAGTGACCAAAAAAGACATTATACAAGAGGATTCTACAAGCCGCTCACTCCATCAAACATCTTTTAAGATTTATGTGGGATGAAGAGAACCTTCACAGAAATATAATTCAGAAATCCTGTTAGATCATCTCTGCTTTGGGAATCCTTGTTTAGGGATCTTTACACTTGGTAGAGGTGACAGATGGAGTCACCCTGGGCTCAATCAACACTTATCAACAACTCAATCAACACCTGAATGAGTTTAGCTGCAAAAGTGACCTGGAATCCTGTGCTTGGAAGAACACAAGAGGCTGCTTCCAGACACCATGAAACAGCCATACTGCTTCCCATATACCCCCACTTTCTTCTATATGGGGAAGAGGGATTGTGACTCTGGTATTTATAAAAAAACTATGGGTTTGCCTTGTCTTTTCCCAAATAAAGCCAAACAAGCTCTGCAGCAAGTAAAAGATACTTTCAGAAAGCATTTTGTGGTCAGTGCTTTCTGTAAGGCACGGGTCTAATCCATTTGTGCCTGTTTGACAGCTGACGTATATGGGAGGTCTGAGCATCAAAATCCAAATCCTGATGAGGTCTCATAAACAAATTTCTCATATCAGCAGAGGGCGCATCCTCATTGCCCAGGTGAGGTCTTCACCTTCCTGCCAGGCTCACATGCTTGCCCTGAGGGAGCCAGGCTGGGAAGGCAGGGTGGAGTGGAAGCACAGATGCATTGGAAACCTGTCTCTGAAATCATTTGGCACATGCCAAGCAGCAGCTCCGTGCCCTTTGTGTTGTTCTGGGAGAGCTCATGTATTTGCAGAGCAGGCCCAGTTTCTTGTGACTGAGCACTTATTTAATTTATTTAACTTATTAACTTATTTAACCTCCCAGGACTCTGTCATCGAGGCTGGCTGTGTTTGATACGAGGGAGGGTTTTGCCAGGCTGCTGTCTGTGCTGTCAGAGACGGACTATAAATAAACACACATGTACTTCTGCATTTCCCTATCTCTCACTCGGTAAGAGGAAATGGGCCTGCGATTAGCATTGAGAGGAACTTGTGAAATGACACAGCTGTGCTGTAAAAACACCATCCCACAGCCTCTGCTGCCAGAGGAACCCAACAGGCAGCACTGGCAGAGCCAGGAGCGGGACTGCCCAAGCCATGGAGCGAGAGCCGATGCGCATAAGGGAGGGATACTTGGTTAAGAAGGTAAGTGGGGTAGCTTTGGACTGAGTGGAAGAGAAAACTAACCCTGAACAAGTTGGGAAGATGTAGGGGAACATCCTGTGGAATCCTGGCAAAGAGGTTAACAGGAAATAGCCACACCCTACCCAGCGGCACTTCATTGGGTCAAACATCAAGGAAGAATAATGAGATTAAAGAGGTCACATCACCGTGGCCTCCAGACAGTGGTGGGGCCACAGGCACATCCAGTTTTTGGGAAGGAGGTGAAGTCTTTGGGAAGGACTCTGCTTTGGAGTCTTTTGTAGTACAGCCCATAGGATAGAACCTTTACTTTTATTTAAATCCACAGTGGCTTCCACTGGCAGAGCAACTACAAGGGGAAATAAATGGTGGTCAGAAAAATAACAACAGTGTTTAACTGCATAGTAGATGGGTGAGGCTGCGGCATGTTCCCCTTGAAACACAAATTGTAGTTATTTTAGCATCAGTCAGACACTCCCATCTTCCTTGGGTATCACATGAAGAGGGCTTCATTGAACATAATATGTGATTTATTGATGCAGGGCAGCATGTTTAATACCTGGAAGCCAATGTGGGTTGTGCTCTTAGAAGATGGAATTGAATTCTACAAGCGGAAGGCTGATAACAGTCCCAAAGGGATGATCCCACTAAAAGGAAGCTCTATTCACAGCCCATGCCAAGATTTTGGCAAAAGAATGGTATGTACTTCTTTTATAAAAAGAATTGATGGTATACTTATACTTCTGGAAGCACTGAAAAGGCAAAAGGGTGGTGGGCTGCAAATTCCTGGCACTCATCCTAGTGGTGATTCTCACTTGCCTTAAGAGGTCACAAGCACACTTGGAATTGTGCACTATTTGAATTCAGGACACTTCAAGAGGAATAATTCAGAAAGCATTTGGGAGGGTTGGTTGGTTGGTTTTGTTTCTAAACTTCTGAGTCTCTTGGAGAGCAGAAATAAATTGTATTGGTGTGAAGACATTTTTCAGCTGAATGGCAACAACTCCTGTATTAAATATAAATCTAAGTGCCACAGAATAAAGCTGTGGGAAAATATTTTGTGAGCAGGAGAAGCATGTATTTTTTGTCAAATGCTGTGACACATATATTTTGTTACAGGATTCCTGAAAAACAGTTGTTGGTAAAACAGAATTTCTCTTATGAGCAAAGAATCATATAATTAGTCACTTATTATTTTGTCAACTCAGTTTCATCAAATAGGCATGACACCCCCATGAATTCCTCTGACAAAGGGGTGGCCCAGAATCTGGAACATTAGTCCACCACAGTTTAAAGTAATTTACCACAGTGATACCTGACTAAAGACAGAATTCTCTGTGAGAGTATTAGAAAAATAGAAAGTGTGAGAGATGGCTGAGACAGTGAACTTTACTTTTTTCATATGAGTAAAGTGAGGATACTTAAACCTGTCCTTAGGTTTTGTAATAAGTGGAATCAGCATCCCTTGTATCAGATTTGGACCTGCTGGCTTTGCTTTTTCCTTCATTCCTTTCTTCTGATTTCTTCCTCTCCTTTTTTTTATTAAAAAAAGGGCGGGGGGCGGGGGGGGAGTTGGTGGGGTTGGTGTTTTTTTGTTGCTTTTTTTTGTTGCAGAACCCCTATTTATATGAAAAAACCCACCTTGATTCTTACTAAATCTTTTTAGACTCACATGTTAAAGGAAAGGATCTGTTAACTTCCAAGATGTCTTTGAGACAGTATAGAAAAAGGATGGGGCAGAGAATAAAGATTGCTGTTAATCCTGTGCTGATTATGTAATTAACAAGGCTCAGCACAACACTCCTTACTCCATACATGAGGTATGAAGGGTACTATGCAAGAGTATCACAGACCTAGATTATAATGGTAGAAATTAAGTTTTTCCTCACAAAGCATTCTTCTCCAGTTTTGTGTAGGGTTTTGGCTTTTTCCTTTAACTCTCAGAAAGGCACTGCCGTCAACTTTGTTTCATAGTAGTTGCTTGAAAATATCAATAACATATTTACAATAAAGCAAAAATAATTCACCAGCATATGTGCATTCAACAAAGCAGGCACAGAGGTCTGAAATAGCTGAAGGCAAAGTGAGAGAGATCCTCACCTGCCCAAAGGATTCCTTTCTCCAGTCTCCAAAAAGTGCATCATATCTGCATGGAAGGGTGACATCTCTGAAGATCATTCCTTTGGCTGCACTGGGTTTTCTGTTATGCTTCATTCTACATAATGAGTTTTTACATAATGAGGTTTAAATTATGTTTCATTTAAGTTCCTGGGGTCTTTTCTGAGGGATAATAAAGACAAAGAGAGACCCAGGGCTTGAGGCACCCAGAACAGCTTTTCATAAATGAGATCTGCTGCAGGGTTTGCTAAAGTCAGTAGAAACAATCCAAATTACTTCAGCAGGCATTGGAGCAGATCCTCCATATGAGGTGGAGAGATTGTTCTGCAAGTCCATAAACTAGTAGCCCTGGAGATGGATTTTCTCTTAAAATTTCAAATAGTCAAAAATCAAATATGTTCATTCACTGAGTAAAGCTATCACCAGGATTGTTCTTGCTAGTACTGCCCAATATGATTAAACCTAAGCTCCTACATGCATTCTTGAAAATGTAATATCTTTATTTTTACATTTTACAGCTTTACTGGACTGCTGAATTCAGTGTTTCTGCATTCTGTTCTGGCTTCTCACTAGTTATATGTCAAAGCATACCTCTTATGGGAATTACTCGGGTTCTTAAGTTTATATGGCGAGAAATGAAAGGAAAAGGAATTCTGTATGGTGAATAGTGGGATAATTCTCACTGGATCAGTTTCAAGTATGGTCTCATTTGTCTGGGCCCAGTTTGGGGCAGGGACTATTGGGCCATAAACAAACTTCTGTATTCCTCTGGTTAAATTTTTGAATCAGCTTGTGTATCTGCACCAGGACTTTGTTTGAAAGCTGAGAGCAGATCACCAGCATGCTTTGTTTACTACATCAATTGCAAAATGCAGGTTCTGAAGGGAAAAGAAGCAATCTTGGATTTGTTAAGCACAGATAAAGGCTGTTCAGAAGGGGCTGCAACTGCATATTTTGAGATTATATTTCAAAATGCATTCACCACTGTCTTCTGTCTATGATTTGATGTTTGATCATTGTTTAATGTAACATAAATTCTGATATTCTTCAGCTTTTTCTATTTCCCCCATGGTTTTCTTATGGACAGCATTATCCTGTTTGGTTGTTCATAGTTAGATTCATCTCTAACAATTTAAACTATGTAAAATGCTGGTATTTAGTTTAGTCTAATGGTCTAATTTTCTCAAAAACACAGCCAGATATATATAATCAGAGGGAGGCTTGGTCACATATAGGATTGGAGACTCAACCTCTTTACCAATTTCAGAGGAAGCCTGGAAGTCTATCTAAAATACTGGCCTAACTTTGTAAATGCTAAAAAGAAATGGCTTTGCCAGTCTTTTCCATGTGCTGAAAATGAAAACTCTCCTTAGCATTTCACTGTATGCTGCTTCTCAGCTCTTTGAGAAGCAGATTTTTCCCTTTGGTAATAAATCTCATCAATGCTTTGGTATTTCATCCTGTTAATCTGGGGTACTGGCTTGAATGTTGAATATTGGGATTTGGGTAGATCTGTCTCTTTGCTTTTGTCACACGCTGTACATTGATTTTCAGTGTGTAGGTCTTTCCTGCATAACAGAAAAGGTGAGTATTGCTGGAAATATGAACAGTGTATAAGATAAGAAAAGGCTACTTTTCCACCTGAGATGGACTTTGAGGACTTGTTGCTTTATAAGTTTTCAATGTATCGTCCATGAAATTCAGTTGGACTTCTGCACAATTTCAGGATGTCAGAATTTTTCCTGTTGGCCGTAGTTTGGAAAATGCTTGTGAGGGGTGTTCAGAAATGTATCCTTTACTAACATGGACTTCAGCAGACTCATTCAGTGTGTGGATTTCATGATGTAAATTTGCTCTCTTTGACAGTAGCCTTTGCCTTCCTTGCCCCAATCAAGTCGTGCTGCTGGCTTGTGGCTTAGCTTGGCATTTTCAGGCACCTGCTGAGTCAGAACCTGTGATATTTATATTAACACAATTACAGAACAAATTAGTGTCACTCATGGGGAGCTATATTTTAGAGGAAGTGGAAACTTGAGTAATTAGTTCCAGATTTTCCATCCAGAAGATCACTGGATGGAAATGAGTTCAAACAGTGTGAACTTTGTTGGACCGTTTTGGGGGTTTGTTTTTTTTTGCTTTGGTTTGGAATTTTTTTTCAGATTATTGTTATTTTTTCTGTTTGCAACTACTTCTTGATGATCTATTAAAATTTTTTGGGAAATACAGTCTTTCCATTGTTGCTAGTGTGTTTAGATAGGTGATCCTAAGGTGTGGCCAAGGGTTGGATGTAACATCTCCCTACTAAGCCATAAAAGGTTTACCAAGCTGCAAATATACTTGGTACTCTCTAGTGTATGGCCTTTTCCTCCCTCATGAGTCAGTAGCTGAATATGATATGGGGTATTTTGCCTTCTTCAGACTGTTCACGTGTCTCTAAACATTAAAACAAATTTACATCCATTTTAAGCCTGCAGGGGTTGAGTGCTTCTGATGCCTTAGTATTTTAACTTTATAATTTTTCAAATCCTATACTGTTTTAGTGTATAATTCTAAAACTCCACATAGAGTGTTAGCTACTGTCTTCACATTTTGGTCAGAAAAAATGATTCCTCTAGGCCTGCAGCTCAAGGACATCTCACTGTCCCAGACCCTGAAAGTATAAGCAAAAGTAAGTTGGGAGGGAAGCAAACTGGGGTTACATGACTTCATTACCTGAAGTTGTAATTGGAATATTAATCCCTGATATGTAAATAGACCAAACTTATATCTGTCTGAAAAACTCGTGAACATTGTCCATCTCGTCCTCCCCTTGGAAGCTTCTGACTGCCCAAGGTGTACCTATTGAAAGCCTTTAATAAATACTCACTTTTATTCTCTTAATCTTGTCTAGCCTCTGTTCCAGGTAGCCACTCCAAGGAATCACTTCAGCCTTTCAGCTGTTTTGAACTTTCCAGCAAAAGTTAGAATCAGCTGTGTTGGTGGTGCACACTGTCACTATTGAGTCAGAAATGACACAGATAAATGAGTGCCACACTCCATGCATTCACAGAAGGCTAAATCATTTTATTAAAAAACCCATTCCTTTTTTTTTTTTTTTTTTTTTTTTTTTTAAATTTTAGTTCACTGCGGGTGGACCTGATTGGCCCTTTAATTAAAACACCATCACCACTGGCTAATTAAAAAACCACCCTTTTGGTAAACAAATCTCCATAACACATTAACACGTTCCACATGTTCACAACACCAGGTGCAGCAAGTCAAGATAAAAATTATTTATAATTTTTTTTTTGTAATTTATAATTATTTTATAAATTTATAATTCTCTCTGAGCTTCTCACAGCCTTTCCCAGAACAATGCCTGGGAAAGTTGTCTGTTTCTCTCTGTGACCAGAGAGCAGCCACCACAGCACACCTTGGATGTGCTGATGATGTCAGGATCAGTGAAGTAACAAAAGGACTCAGTTATGTGCAGTGCTTGTTCATGGTTTTCTTCAGAGTTTCTATCATTTCCTTGTGCCTCTAAGGCACTTTCCAAAGTCCTTAGGTGTAGGTTGGCTGTATGTTGTGGTAGCACTAACTTAATTGTGCCCAACTGGTTAAGCCAAAGCAACCTTTAAAAAAACCTCCCATAATTTATTATTCCAGTTTGTCTTCAAGCTCACTGTGGCCAAGCAGCAGGACCACTTTTTTCAAGCTGCCTACCTGGAGGAGAGAGATGCCTGGGTGCGGGATATCAAGAAAGCAATTCATCACATAGATGGAGGCCAAAGGTTTGCCAGAAAATCCACGAGGAAGTCCATCAGATTGCCTGAAACAATCAATCTGAGGTTTGTTCTCATAGCTCTGCTCCCCCGTTTACTTCCATCTGCAGTCAGTGTGTCAGACATGTAACCCTGGTCAGGAAGAACAACGAGCCTGTCTGTCCATGGATTCTCTCACAACCTTTCTGCATGACTAAAATTTCAGTTTGTACAATGTGTCAGGAATGAGCTAAAAATCAGAACTGGGAAGATCTTTTTTAATATACTATCATTTACCAAATCATGCTTGTTTATCAAAGATTTTCGTTGATAAAGAGATTTCTGGGTATAATGGAGTGCAAGAGGATGCACCAGCTAAAGTGTGACTCTTCCAGAAGCATTTTATACAATAAATCATTTATTACAAAAAATATTTTAGATCTGATCTTTTGTTTGCTCTCCAAAGAAATGCTGATGTTAGCCTAATTTTTGGATGGTGAGGGGACTGTGGTGCCTGCCAAAGACCATGAAACTGGCCAAGGGAGAAGTAGAGCTAAAGGGAAGCAATCTGTTAGTACTTTTCAACATCAAGCATGACTTGTTTTCTGCCTCTGAGCTGTAAATAGCAAGATAAAAATGAGCCTGAAGTGTTCTTATAAGACAGTAAAACTGCACAGAGCCAAGATCATCTGAGAGCATGCAGGCTTTGGGACAGGAACATGTTTTCTGCTCAGCCCAGGACCTTTGGGTGAATACAGAGCACAGCAGTGAGCCCTCCTGCAGGGGCTGTGGGGCCCTGGGAAGGTGCCTCAGCTGTGGGTGTTCTCTTCACGCTATAGTCACCACAAATAGTTGCACTCTCAAAATAGGGAGATGTGGTGAGCCCTTTGTGCACTCCACCCTCTGCTCCCACAGCTGTGAGGTAACGCAGTGAGACCTCCAGGCTTTGCAACTTGAATTTTTCAGGAGATGAAACTAAGCCACATTACAGCTCTGCAGAGAGCTGGACATGAAGCCCCCATGAATGACAATGACACTGTTGTACAAACTGGCAAAACCTTTTTATTTGCTAACAGTTTCTGTGGTTCTTTTTGTGCATAGTGCTTTGTACCTCTCCATGAAAGATCCTGAAAATGGAATAAAGGCCTTGAAGCTGGAAAAAGATAAAAGAGTGTTCAATCACTGCTTTACAGGTAAGGAGCTCCTGTACCTCTATTCTATACAATAAAGGGAGCATAAAGTTGAAAAACTAAAGAGATGAATCAGCTCTGTAGAGCACAGAGAAGTTTGATATTTTCTTGACTAACCCAGGAGATGCTAAAAGGATGTATCTTTGAAAAGTGTTCAGTTATGGCCATGGTAAACAAAGGAGAAGGATGAAATTTTACCTGTGTCAGAAAGATTGAAGTAATCTTTTGAGTAGATTGTAGTGTGAAACACTTGAATACAGAAGAATTATTCCATCCTGGATTTTTCATCACTGAAGAGTGTCCCACTGTAATTCCAGGTTCTCTCAAAGTCAAATATGTGTTTGTGCTCAAAAACACATAGGTGTAGCACTTAAGGACACGGCTTAGGGGTGGACATGGCAGTGTTGGGTTAATAGTTGCACTGATGATCTTGGAGGTCTTTTCCAACCGTAGTGATTTCCAACAGCATTACGTTAGCAGCCTGGATCCAGGCTTGGCTATCCTCCATACCTCCCCAGCCACTGTCTTTGAGGCTTCCCAGCTCAGCCCTGCATCCCCTCCCAGCTCTCTTCTCCATCAGGAATGGTGCTTGAGAGCTGTCCTGGCCCCTGCCATCAGCTGGAAAGGCTGCACCTCACTGGATGGCCAGGAACCTCCATAGATTAGCTCCTCATGTTGCTTGTCACCCTGATTCTTAAGATTTTCTAAAGCCTTCTGAGTTTACATTCTGTTAGAGAATTTTCTCACACAACTTTCTATAAACAACATATTGTTTTGCATTTCTTCATAGGGGTGGAGAAACTTGATGTACTGGTAGTTTGTCCAATGTCTTTGGAGAGGTGGCACATTCACTCTCCAATCCAATGTCACCTTTGGAAAAGTACAAAAGTTGGAGTCAGAGAATAAACCTTCTTTACCTTGCAAATAAGAGGTAGCTTGCGTTGTCCTTTCTCGAGTCCTATAGCAACAGTTGCTATGAACATTTTTCAGGAGATTGATGAATACATAGAGTTTGCTCGTTTCCTGTGTACTTTTAGGCTTCTTCACGTCTGTCTTGGTTTGTGGCTGATGTGTTGCTCCTTTGTAACCAGGCACCGGTGTGATTGACTGGCTGGTGTCCAGCAGCTCTGTCCGAAATCGCAGAGAAGGTCTCCTGCTTGCCTCTTCCCTCTTGAGTGAAGGCTACCTGCAGCCTGCTGGGGACACGTCCAAGGCAGCTGCTGAGGGACTGTCAGACACCCCCTTCCTGGACCTCAGTGATGCCTACTATTACTTTGTGAGCATTATATTCTGATTTTTTTTATTGTCTCAGACTTACTGATGCTCTGCTTTTCTCATGCTTCTTGTTGGGCTTCTTAAATCCTGGAGGAAAGATTGTACAGAAATGGAGAAATCTATCTTAATTATCTTTTTCCTGTGATACTCAGAATAAGCCTGCTCACTTTAATACTCAGGGCAGATTTTTTTTTTTTCTGGTATATAATTGTGAATTGAGTGCTGAGACTAAGTGTGGGAAATAAATTCATAGAGAATTATCAAAGCTCCCATCTTTAAGCTGGGTTCTTTTTAACTTAGACTTTGTTCTGGTAATTGTATGGATGACCAGAATTTAACCATCTGTTTCCCTGTTGACTCAGTGGAAGAGAAGAGAGTAAATCATTATCACAGAGTTTCACAGAGTGGCAGAAGCTACAAACCTAGTTTTGTGCAGAGCCATCAAATCTGACTCAGTGCGAGTGTGCACACACACAGCTTGCCTGTGAGCAAAGAAGTAAAAGTTTTTAATATCCCCCAGTAATCTCTCCTGGGTGTCATACCCAGGCTCCTCCATTTATTACTTCATATTCTGTGGCCTGATTTGAAGAACTTGAAATATCACAGTCAAATACTGTTTGAAAGATGTTTAGCTTATGGACTTAAGGTAACAAAAAAGTATGCCTTCTATAAAGTGAAAGCAAGTAAATTGGCATTACAATTCTGTTTGTATTTACCACATGGAATCACTTGGCTTCAGCAAAATGCTTCTCCCACTACTCATTTGTTTTCCTAAACATGTTTTTGCTAGGGAGACTTTACCAGTTCAGCAGAGACACTCCTGGTGAAGGCAGCCTTGTGGCCTCCTGGGATGCTTCCTGTAGCAGCCCACGTGTACCCTGCTTGCTTTTGGATTATTTCTGGGTTGGATCAATACCACTGTGGTGTGAGGAGGCCACAGAAAGTCAATGTCTTGACTTGGTATCATAGAAGTGCAGTCCCACCTCACACTGAAATGTGCCCATGGTGATTTGAAGAGCTCCTCAACTTCACTGGGAGGCTCTTCCAGTAAAAGGTTAGATTATTTAACAATAACCATAACAACAACAACATCAATAATAATACCTTCTTTGGAGTGGCAAAAAGCAGCATGGAGGGAAGCCAAAAGATGCCAGATTGGTACATGTACATAAGCATGCAGCAACTTCTGTAACATTTCTCTTGTGGTCTTTCAGCCAGACAGTGGATTTTTCTGTGAGGGATACTCCAGTGATGATGATGTGGTCCTAAAAGAAGAATTCAGAGGCACAATTGTCAAACAAGGATGTTTGCTGAAACAGGTCAGTGTTGCCCATGTTCCATTCTAACTAGGATGATGTTACATGGGTGCAAGGTTACTCTTTTACACTTAAAAGCTTTAGGTAAGAGAGAAATTACCTTATGGCATCTCCACACTTGGCAGGTTTCATCTCTGTCTCTCTTGCCTTTGCACAAGGAACACTTGCTGCATACAGCACAGCAGCAGTACTCTGGGCAAATATTGCAAGGTTAATTGCTCTCACCACAAATTAAAGTGGTTGATAGCTTTAATTAGGAAAGTGTTCCAACACAGGAGAAGTGACAAGTCATTGGTACAAGGCAAAACTGAACTCAGGTAAAAAAGCTGCCACTCCTGTGTCCCTTTGGACACACAACTGGATTCAGTTGCCAATTTTCATGGACCTTTTCAGCATGCTTCAGCAAAGAAGTTGTTTCAGTCACTAATATTTGATGTATAAGACAGAAGATGAGTGGGTGCCTTCATTTCCAGCAAAACTTTAAGCAATACAGTGAATGTCATGTTTCTAAGGCCACTGCAGGCAGATATTACTGAACTGGAGGCAAAATCAGGATTTTTCAATGAATAAAATGGATCAGGTGGAAGGGACCTGCAACAACCCTCTGGTCCAATCACCTGACTACTCCAGAGCTGACCAAGGGTAAAAGCACATTCTTAAGGGTTTTGTTGTCCAAAAGCTTCTTACACATTGACAGATGTGGTAAATTGATCACCTCTCTAGTTAGCCTGTTAAAGTGTTTGACCACCTCCTCTCTAAAGAAAAATTTCCTAATATTGAGACTGAACCTGTGCTGTTAAAATAGTCTTTTAGGCCTAAGAACTTTTTGGTGGTGCTAACAAGTATTTCTCTTGTTTAATCAGTTTACTCAGTGGAAGAAATAAGACCCACACCTTGCTGCTCTTTTTCTCTGTCACGTTCTTACCAACCTAGTTAGTAAGAGCTTCCATGCAAACAGGAGCTAATTGAGAAACTTGTATTTTGAAATGCCAGAGGAAATGATTCATGACAACCTTCCACCAGTGTTAGTCTGCACTTGGTCACCCTCAGTGAGTTGTGGGTCACTGCTTCTGAAAATGCTTCCACATCCGTTCTTTTCAGTCATGAAAAGGGGCCATGAGGCACCTATATATCCATATTTCTGCCTCAGCTTCTCAGCCATGAGCACTCCAGGGTGTTTAAGCTAGATAAGCTGTTTTTTTTCTTTTTTTGCTGTTATCTTTGCAGGGACAGAAAAACTTTCAGCTAATCTTTGCCAATAATTCAAGGTACCTTCCTGCAAGGCCCTTTGCACCCATGTTTTCTAGCAAGCAGTAAAACCCAGTTCTTACAGATCTCAAGTGAATGCCATAACTACCAGAATGTGGGGTATGTTTAGGGGAATCTCCTCTGCTTAGCAAAAAAAAAAAAAAAAGAAAAAAAAAGGAAAAAAAAATGAAAGCAGTTTGATAGTCCAGTTCTTGTGCAAAAGATTGGAATGTAGAAAAGGCAGATTCAAGTCCTACTCCAGTGAGTATTTCCTGTCCAGAATATTCAGGTTTTTCCCCTTTTGTATTTGCCTGTCCTCTCATGTGTGGGTAACATTTGCATGCAGGCAAAGCAGCTCTGTGACATTCCTGGTTTTGAATTTTCCTAGGGACATCGGAGGAAGAACTGGAAAGTGAGAAAGTTCGTTTTAAGAGATGATCCTGCATATCTTCACTACTATGATCCTGCTGGAGTAAGAGAGATTTGGGTTATTTCCCTGTTTGTTTTGAATCCAGTGCCTTGTAGAAGTACCTGCATGGAGTATTTGCATGAGAATGTGACAGGGAAGATCAGGCAGGACACTGGGACTGCTCTTCCATGGCCTAGCCATCCCTCTGGAAAAACAGAGTGAAAGTTTCTGGGGCTGTCAAGTCAGGGTGGCAAGTGCCACCCAGACCTGGGAATAAGTAACACTGATCTGTATTTTCACCTCTTATCTGTGATTAATTGGAATTAATGTGGACTCTCACTTGAGCAAAACAAATTAGGTCCTAAGTGCAAATGAACACAATACAGTAATTTTGCAGTTTATATTTGAGGTATTTGCCATGCTAGGCTGAGACATGGCATCTTGTGTACTTCTAATGGGCCCATTCCCATACTAAATACTCTGCAGACCATGAATTCTAAAGCACAAGAGATTCCCTGATTATTTGCAAGCCTTTCTCTTACCACACCCCCAACCCTCCATATCAACACAGACTGAAAATCCCCTGTTCTCTCAGGGGGGACATACTAAATAATCAAATGGTTTTGTCTTCATTCTGGAAATGTAGCCATATATTAACATGCTACTTTCAGAAGTGTTGCATTTAATTTTGATTTCATGTCCTCCCCAGGGAGAAGAACCACTGGGAGCAATTCACTTGAGAGGCTGCGTGGTGACAGCAGTGGAAGATATGCCAGACAGTAAGGATCCATATTAAATTACCTCTCTAATAAGTTTTTAAACCCCCCCTTTCAGTCTGCCTAAAATCATGAGTGTTTTTGTTCCAAAGCAATCTATGGACAATGATTCAGTAATTCTAATAACTGATCTCTCTCTTTCTGTCTGAATTACTGGGAAGGGCACTGTGGTAAAAGTAGCAGTAGGAAATCTTGTGCATTGTCAGTACTTTGGGGAAGGCTGGTCAAAAAGATGACACAAACCCTGTGTTAGGAGAACTGGCCTTTAGGCAAAGTAAGCTGAGTTTGATCTCTTTGGGTAATGAATTTGGGATGGAAGCTTCATGTTAGAAATGGTTATGCCAACAAATTGCTACTGTCCAGCTTCTCTTCCTTCCCAAAGCTAGAAGTTGTGGGAACAGAAACAGTGCTGCTGCAAGGACCAAGAAACCTTCATTTCATGCATTCTCCTCTCCCCAGGAGAGGCTGGCTATCATATCCAGCAAGCAAGTTTGTTGGCATCTCCGAAAAGAAATGGACTCAAACATTTTGTTTTCATAGCTGGCAAGGCATGGGAGGGTTTGGGGAATATGATCTGTCCTTCCATGATTTGAGACCAACAAACCAGAGACTCCTGAAGGTGAAACATGCAGAATTCATGAGTGGTTTTGCTGAGAGAGGGACTCATCTCTTGGACCCAGTCTTTGTGAAGGCCTGATCAGGCTCAGCTGTAAAAAGAAAGGAGATCCCCTTACAGTGTGTAAAGGAGGAAATATTGAAAGTACAACAAGACTTTTTTCTCTCATAGCTGACTTTCTTATTTTTTCCCTGTAGCCAAGAAGCATGATGCTGACAACATCCTCTTTGAAATCATCACAGCAAATGAAATCCACTATTACTTGCAAGCAGCCTCATCCACAGAGCGTACAGAGTGGATCAAAGCAATCCAGTCAGTTTCTAGGACTGGTAAATGAAGATGATCTTCCAACAAGAAGACAGACAAATTTATTCAGAAAAATAGAAAATAGAATTTAGCATTTCACCAAGAGAAAGCAGTATCACCCCAAAGGGCTTGTGTGTTGAGGTTGAGGACTGGGTGGAAGTTTCAGTTCTATACTGGGCACTAACAAACTAACATTTTTTCCACTTGTGTTATGGCAATATTTTACTAAATTATATCATAGAACATGCCATATTAGTGTGTTGCTTAGAGAAATCTGTCTACCTTGAAAAGGTTGCACCTGTTGCCACAGCTGATAGTGGGAATCTCCCCATTAACAGGGATCTCAGTCATGTCACTGACAGAGAGTACCTCAATTAATCACCCTCTTCAGCCTGTGATGTGTTTCAGGATTTTCACGTACTTCAGTCTTCTCCAGACAATTTTCACATTTTCTTCTTTATCAGTTCTTGTTGCTCCTTGTTCACTTATACAAATAATGCCATAGATATAAGGAAAAGAAGTCAACTCATTTGGAAACCTGATCCACTCCTTTCCAATCTGTCAGCATGGAAACACCATGTGGAACCAAGTTTAACTCCATGACAGCAGTTGTGGAGTCTCTTCCCACAGTATTTCAAACACAAAGCAATCTCACTCCAAACTCCATATCACCCAATTTTAAGTCTTGCCAAATTTCTCCACAAGAATCTGCCCCAGGACCATTGTTTCCCTTTATTTAGGTCTCACAAAGCAGATGCTGGGTTGTTAGGTACTGCACTCTATTCGAATTAAGAATCTTGCAGAAGAAGGGGAAGGATGCATGGTTGGTTACTTGAACTTTTGATTGAAGTAGTTTTGATTAGGTTTTCCTTTTTTAACCTCCAGCAACATACTCAGTCCTTGATTCTGTGCCTTAGCAATATAAGAGAAACCTTATGCTTGTAACTGAAATAAATATTTTTATTTGATAGGGTCAGTTCACCTGATTATTCCTTGCATTTTTGTCTGACTGTATATCAAACAAACTTATAAGTCTTAAACTCTAAGGAGGAGTTGAAAATCAAGTTAATGTCAGACCGTGCATGTAGGCTGTTCCTGATACAGACTGATGTTTGACTGATGGAGACTTCAAAATCTTTAAAACTCTGTTCATAGATCTAATAAGGTACCTTATCCTCAAGAATCCTTATTGGGATCTCTTCCATCTAAAAATAAACGCAGAGCTAAAGCTTCTCTCTGGTTGTGCTTAATTATACCTGTAGCTGAGATAATAAGCCTGAAGCCTTGTTGCCTTGCATTACTTTTGCCAAAGAAAACACAGCCTTGCAGGAGCAGCAGGCTCAGACACTGCATCATCGTGTCCACTTCAGCTGGCCAGCAGAAATCAGCTTCTGGCAGGCATTTCCTGTCTCCCATGCAAGCTGTCTTGAAGTCTGATGTGTCATTCTGAGGAAGGAAGACTCATGGTAAAAAGATCCACTTTTTGCTCAGCCTGCTTTCTTGATAATTGCTGCTTGTTGCTGCTTATTTTTGCTCTCAGAGCTCACTAACCCAAAAACACCCGAAGGCACGGGAAAAGAGAAAAAAAACACCCCACACAACCAAATAACAGAAACTTGTCCAGCTTACCAAAGGAGGGACGTGACTGCCAAAATTTAATAAAACTAAAATGTTTTACCAGTCCATGACCTTATCATTTTAACTTGTGTCCAGTCCAAGGCATGGCTGCCCACATATAAATGGTGTCTTCTCGGGCAGAGAATGATAGAGTATTTATGGGAGGGCTCTTATGTTTGTACCATTCTATATTGATGGGGTCTGTAATCTCATGGGTAGTGTTGGAACTCAAAATGTCCCTCAGACATTTTTGGAGGTTCCAGGCCCAGGTCAGAAGCATTTGAGACCCTGGCAGGCAGCTGGAAACAGCTGTGATTCTGAGCTTGAGCTATAGTATGATTTACCAACTTTGCAAGAAGAACAAGAAGTCACAAACTTTTAAATATTATAGCAGAAGTAGTTATAAAGTAGAGGGAAGAATTTTTTAGTATTGTACAAGGGGGTTCTAACACCTATACAGGGTTTTTTTAATTCTATACATAAGGGTCAGAGGGTTTAAGATGGAAGAATGTAGGCCAGTGCTGTTCCTCCTTTTTCTTCTTCCTTGCCTCCATATTCTTAATGATGTTGGCACTCACAGATTGGTTTAGAGTAAAAAAGCACCATTTAATATAAATAGTAAGTATTAGGGAAAAACTATAAATATTTATCACATAATATACCATATAAAAGATAGCAGCAGCCCTGGGGCGAGGAGAAAAAAGAAGAAATCAGAGGACAAAGAGGATGTCAAGGGTGTGTGTGCCTCTGCCTAAGCTACTAACCAAACCACAATAGCCCAAGAAGACAATCTTTTAGATAGCTTACAATAAACTGCCTTGAGACCAAACAACAAGAAACTACTAAGTCTTTCTTTAAAAGTACAAGTTAGAAAAGAAACTTTTCCACCACACGGAACCCCTAAACCAAGCCTGGGTTCCGTCAGGTAGGAACATTTCAACACTTCAGAAGACACATTTCAAGGGTTTGTAGGTGCCTCTGCTTCTTGGCAGCAGCGAGAAGGTCTTGTCCAAGGGAATTCAGAATTAAAAAGCAACTGCATGTCGATCAGAGATGATAAGGCCAGCCCAGTAACTCAGAAGGCATGGAAGAGGCACAGATCCTGAATACTGGCACAAAGAAGAGAGAGGCAGCTTTGTGCAAGGAACCTCTAAACAAAAGGGAGAAAACGGAAGGGCAGAGCTACATGTGTCATGCGTCCTCTAACTTTCACCCTCTGACTATTTAAATCACACTTCTACCACACCCTCAGCAATTACTACATTAACATCAGTTTCTGTTTTACTTTTAAGAAAGACCTAGTCTAAAGGACAGCAAAATAAACAAACCATAGCAGATAAAAATTGTATTTATTATCTTCAGTTACTGAAAGACATGTGCAATATAATCTCATATAAACATCCTCTTAAATTCATGTTTGTCTTGCCACAACCTGCACTGAGCAATTTTCCCTGCCCTGGAACACTGCCTACTTGCTTACTATAGTCAGTCAGATTTTTGAGAATGTTGCCTAACCATGCAAACCCATAAAAACACCCACACAGACACAGCACTCCTACTTCCATTTTAAAATGAAGTTTAAAAGAAAATGGCATGAAGCAAACCACAAACACAGATGCTGAAGAAATAATAACCCCAGCCCAAGAAGCTTTCAGCTTGAGTCAGTGTTAGTACTTCTTATAATCCAACAGAAAACACATATGGATGTAGTTTGGGCTTTATATGTCTCTAGCATTTTTTTCAAAGAGCTGTTTACTTTCCCTGCCCCAGAGTTTTCTTCTGAAGGTGATATAACTTTGTTGATAAGTGTGGTTATTTTGGTGCTTTTCTTCCCAGTGTGCTGTCTTTGCTTTTTATTTGAAAGAGTTAACAGAAAGTGTGAGAGGTCTCCTGAAAATGTGGATTAGTAATAGAACAGTTTACTTACTAGCATTTAATCAAAGTTGTTTCATAAAGACAAAAAAACTCGTTAAGGCCTCAGGTATCTAACATTTACTGTCAAACCTCTCTTTTAGAAAAGTTTTTATTTCATTTCTTTTTGCAATATTACATATAACTCTTCAATGCAGTAGCACCTCTTCTGTCTTTGGCTTAGAGTTCACTTTACTACAAACGTTAAACACCCATTTTTCTCCCCCAGTTTGTTCTCAAATATTTGAGAAGTTATTTTAAGTTCAAACTACTTGCTTCACAGGGCTCTTGATTAGTGCTTTTCACTGTTTGAAATGCTCCTCCATTTGTTCTGAGTTAGAGCTTGGGCAACACTGAAATCCAGAAAAAATTTCCTTAAATAATCTTTTTGGTGAGGGCCAGAAACATTTAACTAGAGTGGGAGTTTTTGAGGGAGGGCAGTGGGGTGGGAATGGGTTGGGTTTTTTGGTTGTTCTTTTTCAGCTCGTACCTTTTAAGACTGTAGGAGACTATAGGAGAAACTTAAAAAAGGAAAATGAGTAGATAAATGTCCTCTGCAGGTTGTTGGTATTTCTGTGGGTGCCCTCAGTTTGTGTTTTGAAAAGTGTAGGTGATTTTTGTTTGTGAGCTGGGATCTTCTCGTTGATGTATAGAGATTTTTCTGCACTCAAGGTGAACTCTGACCGAAAACAAAGTTCTTCTTTTGTTGTTACTCATCACACTATTGGAAATAGAACTTCTTTATTTGGCTTCAAAATAAGCTTGGGAGGGAGGTTTTGATTAGAACATAGCACTTCCTGCTTTGCATTTGGAAGAAAAACTGTGGTTTTCCTTACTTTGTTTCTGGTTCTTGTAGATTAACTTTTTTTTCTTCCAGTGCAGTAAAAGGGAGACTAAGACTCTATGAAAGGTGAATAAAATGCTGTTTTTAATGCTTCATTTGCCTTCCATGTTAAATGTTATGGGCTCCAGTAGAACTCTTTGCTTTCCTGCATGGACTCTGCCTTTTTTTAAGATGACAATGTATTTCTCTCCTTTTCTTCAACTCATTAAAAGATGACTGGGCAGAAGGGAGGAAAATAATCAAAGGGAAATGCTGATAAAACTGATAGAATTTTGCTTCCAGCACTTGAAAGGGAGAGGGATGATGTTAGTATTGTTTAAAATTTGCCTTCAGTATGTTTTTCACCACAATTTTGAATATTAATAAACTAGAGTGATCAAGGGAGAGGAAAGAGACCAGGGGATTGACTGGTTTAATAAAAAAATACCAAAAAACTAGTCACCCTACCCTTCCTACATCCTCAAACTCTGATATAAAAAGGACATTGAGAACTCTCAGAGAATTGTCAGCAGCCTCTCTCTCTATCAAATATACTAGAACAACCTAGTTCAGACTAAGAGTATCAATTATGTAAATCAGTATATGATCAGTCTTTTCATGTACCTGCTTCCATATCATAAAGAAGAGTCTGAAAATCCTTTCTTAATCACCAAAGTATATCAAAAGAAAATCAAGAACACATCTCTTTTGTCCCC